CCTTACTATATACATGACATACTACCTTTTGGGTTATACAAATTAAAGACAATAGATAGTCACATGTTAAAGGCCAAAATTCATGGAAACCGGCTGTCATGCTATCATTCTCGAATAACAGTCACGCCAATTCCCATTGCTTATATCAGCCGAAAACCAAAGTCTTGGTGATTTTTGTTTTAATAAACAAACTAAAGTTAAAAAAAAAAAAGAATAGTTACTTCTTCTTAAAATGTCAACTTCTTCTTTTCCAATTCCTACCCACATTGAAAAGACCTTGGCTAAATTAAAAGCCCAAATGGAAAAAGCCAAAATCGATGACACTTATATTGTTTCAGCCCAAGGTGCAACAGAACACTAGTCATAAACCTTATTAGTAACAAATATAAAAAGCAAAACAGCTGCTCAAACATTGCATACTAAGCTACCTATGTTCCTTGAGGACCTTCAACAGACCCTGACTATTGAATAGCAACCAGAAAAGCCTTATGGTAATTCCTGGAAGGAAAAGATGACTTATATTTGTACTTTTATTAATCCAGAATGAACAGGCCAAATCGCACAATTACTATACTATTTCTCTCTTGGGTTCTTATTACAAGAGAAGGTATAGAATCAAGAAGCTAAGAAACTTGTTAAAAGATTAATTAATCTGACCGGCAAGCTTCAGGACTTTCTAATTATTCCTTGAAGAACATACTATTTGTATAAATCCCATGGTCCTTTCTACCTTTACACTGCTCAATTCATTACTCTATACATTCTTCAACGCTTATATCAAAAGGATTTTGCTATATTACAAGCTGAAGCCCAATCTCTTGCCCAGCAAGAAATTAACAAAGTTTTAGAATTAACTATTTTGCAGGGGCTCAATGGTCCAGAGAGGCAAATGTAATGAATTGTGTTCATTACAGTGTACATGATTCAATCCCGTGTTTACTTTTTCTTTTATTTTATTATATATTATTTTATTATATTTTATTTTATATATTCTATTAGTATTATTTCGCAAGTGTAAATATATTATCTCACCAATTCCATTTTGATAACAATACCCGTGTGTATTATTAATTTCGACGCATTGTACATAATTTTATCAGTTATACTAAAATAGAAGTCGAATAAGGCTTAGTAGCTTAGATTTCTGAAAATCAAATGAATTTTGAATATGCAGTAAAATCCACGAAGTTGTGATTGTAGCAGCAAATGTGTTATGATAGCAATGAGTATGTTGAAATCTCTATGACTTCATAGAATCTGTAGCGGATACATTAAAAATTCTATGTATTTGTTGTAAATCTTTAAAATTATATAAGAACTTTTATTTTAATTAAGGCAAATAAGTTCCACGTCCTTCATAAGTCAAAAGAAAGTAGTAATATAAAATACTTATCTTATAAATTTTGACTTTAACATTAATAAACCTTTCGTAACTCAATTCAACGGACCAAATTAACTTGTAACCTTGATACGGCTTATTAAGACTCAAAATTCGGTGTAATAGTCTTCATATGCTTTCGGAACTTGTTACATGATTTTCATTTAGAAGTGTTTTCATCTAAAGAAAAGAATTAATTTGAAACGTGAAAAGTAATTTGTCCTGCCACCTTTAGCATCACTAGCATCAGCTGATTTTAAAACATAAGAGTCAGAATAGTGATAATTTATCACTTTAATATCAAATATCATCTTTCAATCACTGTAATTTTATAGTTGTTCTTAAGATTGATTTATTATAAGTCTTATATTTCAATCAAGTCATTTATTATAAACATCATTATCAATCAATCATTCAATCCCTTGATCTCATTTCCAAATTATTTTAATTCATCCTTCTTTTGTATATGCATTTTTAGTTATTATCATATTATAAATCATACTAAGTTTTCTTTTGATCTAAAGATTAATTAGTTAAAGGCAGATTCATATTTCTTTTATATATATAAACCCCAATTTTCATACATGGTTGGAGTCTCAAATTTGTCTATAATCCTTTTCGCTCTTTCAATACAACCGTTACAATAAGTACTGTAAAATTTTGTACTTGCTACACTAAAATACAAATATGCATGCAGAGATATGAAAATTTTTCAAATTATATTGTTGATGTGATAATATAAATCAACTAATCAAAAACATATGAAAAACATCGCATTATATGTTACTATTGGACTATGCCAGTAAATTATTTTAGGCCAGATATTATTTTGTTGAAGCAATTAAATGGTAATTAGTACAAGATCATGAGGCGAGTGATTGACCGAGATTGGTCAGAACAGCAATGACATCCTGAGAGGTTGCAATAAACATTGCGCTGAGAGTCACCATAGGATTGATTAGCCAGTAGTTTCTGCTCACTAAAGCAAGCCGGCTTCAATATAGTAATAGCTGAGAAATTGAAAACATGCACAGAATCACGTGGTCACCCCTTTTTTTTGGGTGAGTGGGTGGGTCGAAACCTTCGATTATTCAGGTTTAACACTTTGGACTCATATTCTGTTTCTTGGTTTAAATACATTCTTGAGGCTTTAGTCACTCGGTCCTTTATGCATTGCTGACATGTGCTGCTGTGTGTCTTTATATGATTTTCAAACTTTAATTATTTTCTTTTATTAGATTAGCACTGCGCGTATTTGTTGCATGACATGTAGTGGCATCGAACATGTGACTGCTTCGCTATTCGATCATATGATCTACCACCACATTGATATAATTTTTTGTACCACTATGACTAAACAATAAATATCCTCCGCTGCCACACTTAAGACAATTAAATTTGCATTTTATTTAGTCGTGAATTTTTTTTTTCTTCTTAAAAAAATGAACTCTGATGAACTTCATATGTTTGGTAACAATTATCGATATGGTATTGGTGTTAAGAAAGACGAAAAGAAAGCTTTTAAATATTATATAAAAGTGGCTGAGTTAGGAAATCCAGCTGTGACGAACACTGTTGGGTTTTGTTATAGTAAGGAGTTGGAGTAGAGATAAATTACCAGAAATCATTTGAATATTATAAGAGATCAGCCGATTTAGGTTGTGCTAAGGCAACGTGTAGTGATGGTATTCATTACGAATATGGGAAAGGGGTTGATCAAGATTATAAAAAGCATTTGAATACTAAAAATCTGCTGATATGGGTAATAGAGTAGCAATAAATAGCATTGCTCTATATTATCGAAATGGTATTGGTACAAAGAGAGATATTCAGAAGACAAATTATTGGTTCACAAAATATAGAAGTCTTCTGAAAATGAATAAATTACCTGATCATATCAATTCTGAAGTTAAGAGAATATTAGACGATAAGAGATTTAAATTATCTTGAAATGATTTTTATGTGTTTAAAATTATCAGGGAGCTGGGAAAGGGAGGATTTGCAAATATATATTGGGCAAATTGGACTGACAAAATTAAAAATATAAGGAGTGATGCTGCACTTAAAGTGATTTGCGATTCGAAGAATTACTGTGAAATTGGTTATGAAAATCCTTAGTTTTTGAAATGTTATGGAGTATCAAGAAATTATTCTGGTGTTTCTATTACCTTACTGGGAAAAAAACCTATTCCCCTTAAAACTACTAATAATTGGATAAATCATTCGATAAATCTCAACAATGCAACACCCGATCAATCAATATACACTGTAATCACTTCGAAACAAAATACTGTTCTAATACTTTCGTATTGGGCTGCTAATAATTGAATGTATAACACGTAAGATATATACAGTTAAAGTAAAAATATATAAGAAATCCTTATTTATGATTTATATAGTTTAGGAAAAAAAATCGAGTTTACCTCAAAATAACGCACATTGGTGCACTCAAAATAGCACGCAGGTAATCGAAACACCGCAGGTGTGCATTATTTCGCGGTAATACAGTAAAATTTAAATGTATTACTTTTTAATTAGTATTGCATTTATCCTCTTAATACCTTTCATGTAAAAATTATAATCACTTTTTGCTGATTTTTAAAAGTAATTTAACTTCTCTATGAATATAAATGACTAAATATCTTCGATTAATGCATAGTAATGTTCACAAAATATTGACTCATTAGTTTGGTACAGTGATATCAGTTTAGAACCGAATAAACATTACAATAACAATATATATCGTAATTAACTTAGTCAAATTGTTTCTAGGTTAAAAGAAAGTTCATTTAACAAAATGTAAAGTATAGAATATAATAATCAATACATACATATAGTTATAATGTTTAAAGAACCACTATTATCATAACACAAAGTTATTTTGGCCTTAATTGTAAAATTTTTCAAAATTTGGGCCCTTATATGTAATTATTTTCACTTTGGGCCCTTACTGTATTTGCAATTATTTTTATTTTTCGAGCCCTTATATGTAAATTCCTCTAAAATTTTATTATATAGTCGCTTGAATTGTTTAAAGAAAGTTAAAAATGAGTATTCTATGTTATATTATACATTATATGGGCCAATATGCGACACTATGCAGAAGAGAGAACCTCATACCCTAAAAATTTTTTATAGTGTGTCAGGTCGCTTGTCATTACACTTGGTGCTGATTTTAGTAATATTACACAAAAATATACAACTATATAATTTTCGTTCATTGAGAGTAAAACTCTCCAAACACTCGATCTTTATACTATGTATAATAAAACTCAATTTTTTGAATTTGTTATATATATTGTACTTATTTTTTTTTGTTTTATATTTTATTTTCTTTAGTTGTTTTAAGACAAAAAAGAACTTAATATTGAAAAGAATGAACATAATAATTTATTAGAGATCTGTTGAGATGAGAAAAATAGGAAGCACTAGTAAAGGATATAAATCATTGTTACTAAATAGAACTGGAGTAGAAAATGATGAATTATATATATATATTATTAGAAATTGTTAAAGGTTAGAAACTCTTGGTTATTGCTATTAAAAGTTGAAGTCAAAAAGAATGAACATATTGCTTTTTTTTTTTATATCATAAATCCACCAATAGTCATAATAGTGGAAATTACATTTTAATGAAATTAGGTTGAAAAGGACAAATACAGAGTGCTATTATATTAAAATAAGTAAGCAATGCAAATTGTTCACCTAGGTTATGATTTTTTAGGCAGATTCAATCACTGATCACTAATATTTTAAGAGAATTTGAAGGTAATTTAAAACAGATTAAAATTATTAATAAAAGATGCTTATATCAATTTATTTTTTTCCTATAATATTTATTATTTTTCAAATTAGGAGCAAAAAATTCAAGAAACTCTACATAAGTATTTTTTCAAATTTTCAAAAAAAATTTTTTTTTTAAAGTTCCAATTGCACCAATTATTCTATTTTTTGGCATTAATTTTTTTTTATAAATCTGATATCACCTGACAGAGACCTTATTTTCCCGGAATTACTCAATATGACCATAGAAAAAAATCCAACTACCAACTCAATTTTCTAATTTCACATTATATAAAGTGAAAAATTTACTTTGTGTAGCCTTAAATGTATCTTGACTCTCACTAATTTTTTTTTTTGAGTCTGTACTCATAACATATGTCTTGAATACCAATTCTTTTATCTTGACCAGCTTTCTCTATAGAGCAGATTCCAACTGCAGCAGGTATTTTAATTTGTGTATCACATTGTTTAGTCTCAGTTATCTCTTGAGTTTGTTCCTTTTCAAAAAAAGCTTCGCCCTTTTTAAGCACTATCTTTTCATTATTTATGATTTTGGATTGGGTTGTTTCTGTTATTTGATGGTATTGATATATCACTGGCGCTTTTTTTTTCATTATTTGAATAATAGGTTGTCTTTTTTTTTAGATGGAAGTCTACACCTAGGTGGCATTTTGTTAAGTAAAAGGTATTGATAGATTGACTAAAAAAAAGTATACTTCAGAGGGTATTGTTTAGAAGACACAATTTTTATAATTATAAAAAAATAAATTTTGGATCGTATCTTCAATGTTGTTTATATAGAAATATTAGTTTTTATTAATAAATAAATTGTAATATTAGTGAAGTTACAAATTATAAACACCAGTAAATACTTTTTCATTATAAAATGGTCATTTATCAATTATTCTGATCTATATCATAGTTAGTGTTCTAACCTTGTAATTTGGGAATTTTTATCATTTGAACAATTAAAAAATTTCAAAATCATAAATCTGAACTAAAATATTTTTTGATCAAAATTCTTCTTTTTAAAAATGACTAGGATGATAAAGAAATGTGATAAGTGGCACTATCAAATTTATAAACAACAGTGATCACGATTGCATACAATCATAAATTTGAAAGTGTTTACTTTTCTATTACATATTCAGACTTTTCTCTGGTAGAATTTTTAATGATGCGATACAATTACTTAAATATTTAATTTGGTTAGCGATCTAATTCTTAATATTAGATATTTAAATGATACCCCTTGCATTGTCAAATAGTGTTTGAAATTGAAAGCACTATCGCTATGTATCATTATTTTCTCTTAAAAGTGATTATGCGTGTTGATTTTTAGGGAAGCAAAAAAATTAATAAGTGGCATATAAAATTTATAATCAATAGTGATCATTATTGATAGTATACTGAAATTTGACACTTTAGGATTTAATATATAGTCTAATACTAATTTGGAATAAAGACAATGTAAAAAAGTATATGCACATGCCGATGTCAAATATGCAATATTCATCACATGTTCAAACCTTTCATGTGCCAGTTTATCACCATATCACTTCTGTAAGGTTAATAATTTATAGTATTAGTAAAATATTAGTTTTGTTCTTCGATTGTACCAATAATTTGTTTTATTTTTAAATATAAATCGTATGCAAAAATAAATATAAATATTAGAAAGCGCTTTGATAATTAAAGTTTTCTAATTATAACTAATTCATTCTAATCAATAACCAACATTACTATACTTATTGTCCAAAATATCTTAAATTTCTAAAATCTTTAAAAATTAAATTGCTATAATAATGTCAACTCATTTAAATTGTAATCCTGATATTGAAATTTTCGAATCATACGAGAATCGTGTAATTACGTATAAAGAAAAAAAACAATATTACATAGAGATCATTTAGTTATTTTATAGAGGATAAGAGATTCTGTCCAAATTCTTCTATATTTTGTTATACATTACCTTCTAAAAATTATCCAATTCCTGATAATTATTCTGTAAAAACTACCTGGAGACATAAAAAAGTCTACAAACAGTTCAATGTAAAATTGAATATAAAAGTGGATATCCAGAATTTTAAATTTTATTTGGCCCGTCTTTTGAATACGTATTTAAATCAAATGAATCAGCTAGTAAGGTCGCAACAGAGTATAGTATGGTACATATTAAATAATTTTCAAAAATCATGTGATTGTCTCATGTTAAAAAAGACTTCTTCATATAAGTGTCTTGTGTGAGATAATTACAATTTTTTAAATAATTATTTTTTATATCTAATAGTTACTTAAAATAAAATTCCACTTACAGGCTGTAAATAGTTCAAATAAAAGTGTTTTATCTGGGCCGCTTCTCTTTGGATTACAGCTTCAAACACTTAAAAAAGTTAGAGAACCTTGGGATAAACGTATAGTTAAACCCACTGAACAATGTTCAGAGCAAACATTTAAAAGACACACAAAAAATATTAGAACAATAATAAAAGAGAAATTTATTTAAAGTACAAGTCCCATTTATAATGCTCAGAATTCCGTTAAGCTAAAATCATTTGAATTTTTCTATCAATAACCAAAATTATTCTTCTAATTTTGGGGACGATCTTGTACAAAAAAAAGCTTAAATTTTTAATACAGTTAAAGTAGTAGATACATGTTATATTTCACGAGATGCTTATCGAAATTTGATGGCAACACATCATCAACTACTATGTGCATATATTATTGCAAATGAATGAAGTGACCTAACCCAAAGAATGTCTAAAGACATTTCTATTAAACATATTAATATGAATACAACAATAGAAGATATTATGAACAATGAATCTGATAATATAAATGAAGAGTTTGACAATATAGGTAATAATCTAATAATTTAGATTCTGAAGTAATAGATAAAATTATGAATTCTATAGATATAGGTGAGCAACGTAATTGTAAAGGAATACTCAGATATATAATTCCTTATTTGTTGCATGAAAATGTATTATTAGTTAATTATCCAATAATCCATTTGTGAGTTTCCAGTGACAGTTGAAATGTTGGACGAAAAGTCAAGCATGTTATGATTACATTTATAATTCTTAACGATTAAAAAAATTGCCATAAACCTAGCTATCATCATACCGTTGCTTTATATTTGGGAGTCAAAAAGTATAAATCTCTTGAATTCATATTAAGACCATTCCTTAATGATCTTAAAGACTTTAAAGATAATGGATTAGAGGTCGCAAATATCTTATAGCAGTTTGAGCTATATTTTAATAATGATTAAAAGTTTTTGGCAATCTGTCTCAGATTAAATGCCACAAATTCAAAACATTTTTGTGCTTGGTGTCTCTGCTTTAAACGGAAAATTAGAGACGTAATACAAGATTAGAGAATAACAAAGTCAATAGACGATTTAAAGAATAACTACCTTAATATACTGGGCAACATTAAACCACCATTATTCAACATGATTCCTTTATCCAATTACGTATTTGAAGAGTTGCATGTTTTGCTGTGAATTGAGGATCGACTCTGGTCATTAATGTTATCAGAAATTAAAGAATGAGATTTATTCAATGATATTAGTCGCCAAATTATTATAAATAAAATGAATCGGCTTAATATTAAATTCCAATTTTGGGAAGAATCCAGCACATGGAAAAATACATCATTAAGCAGTAGTGACAAGTTTAAAGTGTTACAACTCTTTAATCTAAACATCCTTTTTCATCCAAGTCAGGCCAAGTTAATTCGATCTTTGTGGGACAAATTTGTCGACTTGTATAAGGTAATATGTGATCAAAATAGTGATCTCTTATATATAAAGCATTTGTCACTTAAAACCCAATGAGAAGGATCCAAAAGATCCTTGCAGTATCATCAAAGGCCTTTATTTGCCAGTTCATATAACACCCTATATTCATTTCTTATTTCATGGGTGAGAACTACATCAAAAACATAAGCAGTGGAGAATAAAAGCATTTTCTTGTAATGCGGTTGAAAAAAAAAATCATGCACATATATCTTATTTTTTTCGAAAGACTACTCTGAATGGTGGTGATCCTCAAAATGCAGCCATAATAGAAATTTTAGAATATGAGTCACGAAACCTTTTTTATACATATAACGATATTTCAGTGTAACACAAAACTAAAAAACTTCGTATTAAATAATAATAATAAAATTTTTACTTAACGTTCATGTAAGTCCATTTCCACTTGGGTTAATTGGAATCTTCTTAATTAATAAGTGATCATACAAGTGCTCATTTATTACACTCAAAATAAACATTACAGTCGATACTTAAGCAGTCCCCTATTGATTCTTCTATTATTTGTCAAATGTCATCGGCAAAAAAAATAAAAAAACACATCCATCCAACAGAAAGTAATAGATAGTTGAATTTGTCGCCATTTAAGCGAAAACCAAGAGATGGTAAGTTGTTATTGTTTCTTGGGCAAAGTTGTTTGAACGATCTCTTTGAATACTCTATTTATCGTAAAATTTTTCAAGGCAGGTATAAAAAAAGGTAGTTTGTTGTAAAAAGTTTGTTGATTGAAATGGAAAACTATTTAATATGCTTTACTAAGTTGTTACGTAATAAACTTTATCAAATTACATATATTTATCGTAATGATAAACATGCTTAAATGTTTTCTGCTAAATAGAATTTATTTCCAACACTTTTTGACCCATTGAATAAGACGCTTGAGAGCGACCTTATGATGAATTATTTTCAAACTAATTTTTTGCATATTTGCTTATAATTAGATAATTTACTGTTTTCAAATTACTGTTTTAAAATCCTTATTCTTTACTAATCGCCACTGAAATAACAACATTCCAAAAATAAAATTTGCTGATTACAGTAATTTGAAAAGCGCAGTAAAATTACTTATTAAGTACATGCATATCTTTGTGAAATGTAAAAAGATAAGTACACAAATCCTGCTGCACAAGCATGTCAGTCTATTTCTTTAATAATTTTTTTTTTCCATTTTACCAGAAGCTCACCATGGAAAAATTTTAGGTTTTCTTTTTTTTTTTTTGATTATTTAATTGCACCAGAGGGTCAATGTCATTATCTTGATCGTTGTTAATGTTAGGATAAAGTGTATGATTCAATAGTTCTAAAACGATGTACGTTTGTAGATTATGATCATAATTTTTTTGACCCCATTTAGGATCTTCCAAAATTTGTGCTAAAGTTGAATATGCAGACTCTCCATGAAATCTGCATTTGTATACGCGTGGATTATTTGAAACTTGATGAACGTGGCCTCTAAAAACAGCAACGAATAGACTTTCAGTACACAGAACTGTTAACGCTTTTCTTCCTATCTTGGTAAAACTTAATGGCAATTGGCGATGTATTTGTTGAATTAAAATATTCTTAAATTCGTGCAATGTTCTAACTGGAATTTCATCAAGATCACTATGTGGTACGTTATATTTTTTAATAGCATTACAATGTTGTCTGTATCTATTTTCTGATTTGAAATTTCGAAAACAGACAGGACACGAAACAAAAGAGATAGAAGGCTTAGAAGTTAAATTTTGAGAAGTAGATGGTAAACACATTATTAAAAAAAAGCAGTTTTTGAATATCTATCTATTTATTACTGTTTATGTCTATTTATTGCTGCTTTTGAGATGGGGTTAAAATAACTAATAAATTTATTTATGAATACCATGAATTCAATTATTCGATTACTTTAGACATGTTGATCGAAGATCAACTGTCACGAATAATATCGATGTCAAATAACATGTCTCAGTAGGCTCAGACAGATGGGTTGGACAATAATCTAATGGATAGCGATGTCAAATAGCATGTCTCAGTAGGCTCAGACAATTGGTTTGGTCGATAATCTAATGGGTTTGATGCAAGTTTGTTATATCCTTGTTGCATAATAGTGCAACAGGGGGAAACGTTTGAACGTCATAAAATTGTTACACAATTGATAAAAAATTTTTTTTATATTATTTTACAATACTTTTTTGGAAGGCTCGCTTGACTTATCTTTTATATGAATATTGAAAATAATTAAACAAACATGAAGCTCTCACTTTGCTTTACAACATGTTTTTTGAATCCATGGTTTCGTCTTTTTGTAAATTTCGCAATTTGATTGGTTGACTAATCCCGTAGTGATATTTTGACTGGTCGATACAATGAGTGATCTGTGTAACAGAAAACGAAAATCATATCTATATTTGGACGTTTCCTCCTGTTTAATAGTGCAGAATAAACCCTCAATAAATCAAAACAATCACCCTAATAATTCGTAAAACCAATCAAAAAAAGCCAAATAAGGGGTTTGTACACTGTTTGAACTAAATTTGTGACTCTATTAAAGGCCCAAATGTCGTGGATTGGCCCATATGTTACTTTATGATCTTACAAATTTATTTTGTGCTAGTACGTTTTAATCCATTATTTGTATTATTTCCATGAGTACTATGGCTTTTGAGAAGGTTATTTCAACCGCTCTATAACAATCCTAGCATTGTCCAGAAAAACTGAACTAGTTTATTTTTGCTGGCATACATGTAAATTCAGATACTGATCTCTGAATAAATTATGAATGCTAATTCAATGAAAATAACATTTTGTTACTTTTTATGTGTTTTTTTTTTTTTTTTTAGAGTACTAGGGTTTTATCTTTTAAAGTGTAAGGTTTCGTCATTTTAAGTTTAAAATTTCGTCTTTCGTCAGAGGATTTGTGTTTCAATTTTCGTCAGATGTTTCGTCTTTTATCATCATACGAAAAAGTTCTCGTCTAACAACTATTAAAATACATAAATAACATTGGTAATGATTATAATTGCAAAGCATCATCTTTACAATTACTATTCATTACTTGTAACTTTTTAGGGCGATCCCTTTATCTTTATTCACAATAAATTTCAATAATATTATCCTACAACATGAGAGATTTTTTTACAGGTTGGAAAGTACCACTAGCCAACCACAAAATTATCAGCTGGACATTTTTGCTTAATGAATGGGCGGGATACGACTTTATTTGGTTTTTGTTGCACTACATGCATGCGGAGAGACATGAAAAGTTTACAAAATTTCATTTTGCTGCTACAATATAAGACAACTAATGAACTAATCAAAAACGTAACTTTTATTGTAACTCTTGTATCACTTTGACTAAGCATAAATGTTCTCCGTTACACTTTAGACAATTAAAGTTTCTATTTCACTTATTACATAAAAGGTTTTTTTTTCTTTAAGAAAAAATGGACTCTGAGCAACTTCGTTACCTTGGTTACAATTATCGATATGGTATTGGTGTTAAGAAAGACGAAAAGAAGGCTTTTGAATATTATATGAAAGCAGCCGAGTTAGGAAATCCGGCTGCGATGAATGATGTTAGTAGTTGTTATTCTTATGGAATTGGAGTAGAAATAAATGACCAGAAATCATTTGAATATTGTAAGAGGGCTGCTGATTTGGGTGATGCTATTGGTATAAGTAAAGTTGGTTTTCGTTACGAATATGGAAAAGGGGTTGAACAAGATTATAACAAAGCATTTGAATGCTATGAAAAGTCTGCAAATATGGGTGTTAAAGCTGCAATGAGCAATGTTGCCATATGTTATCGAAATGGTACCGGTACAAAGAGAAATATTCAGAAAGCAAATTATTGGTTCACAAAATATAGAAGTCTTCTGGAAACAAATAAATCACCAGATCATGTCAATCCTGAACTTAAGAAAACATTAGACGATGAGAGATTTAAATTATCTTGGATTGATTATAATGAATTTGAAGATATCATCGAAATAGGAAAAGGAGGATTCGCAACTGTATATTCTGCACGTTGGTACGATAGAATTAATGGTATGTGGTGGTATGTTGCACTTAAAGTGATTCATGATTCAAGCAAAAATGAGCAAGAATTTATACAGGAATTGAAGAATTACTGTGAAATTGGTTACAAGAGTCCTTCATTCATGAGTTGTTTTGGAGTGTCAATAAATAATTCTGGTAATTATATTATTGTTATGCGGATTGCACCAAAAGGTTCGTTACGACAAAATCTTGTGGAAGTATCACAATTGGAATGGAAAGATAAATTAAATATTTTATACAGTATAGCTTTGGATCTCGAGTCGATTCATTCACAGGAACTCGTTCACAGAGATTTACACAGCGGAAACATTTTGCAAGAATATTTAAATAGCGCATGTATCACTGATCTTGGACTTACTAAAAAAGTAAAGGAAGGAAAGATTTGTGGAATTCTGCCGTATATAGCACCTGAAATTTTGTTGGGTCAGTCGTATATTCGAGCATCAGATATTTACAGTCTTGGAATTATTGCGACAGAGATTTCGACCGGACAAAGTGCATTTGATGGAATTCCATTTAATGATGATCTTATATCAAGAATTATCGATGGATCAAGACCTAAATGTTTAGGACCAGATTGTTATATTAATTTAGCTATGAAATGTATGGATAAAGATTTTGATAAAAGACCTACTGCAACAGAAATTATTGAAATAATTGCAAGTTGGTTAAATGAGATGGATAAGGATGATGATAATGAAATCAAAGAACAATTTTTGGAAGCCAATAAGATTAAACCAAAGTTGAGCAAACAAATACATTCTCAAGACGTTTATAGCAGTAAGCTATATGATACTCAAAATTTTTCCAAAATTTCGAGCAAATTTTCAAGATTAGAATTAAATTAAATTATATAAAAACTGTGTTTACGTAGGAAGGTGCGGTTTTAAAATTCTTAGTTATCAAAATTCTACGATATTTAATCCCATTATATTATAGTGATAAATATTTCCTTTCATTTAATCTATGAATTTTAGATTATTATTTTTATCGTTTTGGTGATTTGTTTTTTTGGGAGCAGGGTTAAAGATATAATGTTATCAAAGTTCTCAAAAATTTTGTTCTCGTAAGATATATATGAAAACAGATCGAGTTTTTTTTATCATTAAGGACATTATAAATTTTTGAAAACATAAATTGTCAATTATTTTCTCGAAGAACAAAAAATTTTTAGATCCTTTTCACTGCTTGGAGTAAGAAATTTTTAAATTAATTTTATCTTCTTTTTTGAATTTTCTGCTCAATATACTTTGAAATATTTTAACTAAGAAAAATATAAATTTTGATTCTAAAATTGATTGAGTATTATAAATATGCTAATCAAACTTAACAAAGCAAATTTTTATGAGAGCGCCCGTTTTAACTTTGTATCTTAATTAAATATTGAAAAGCTTTATTTACGTATTAATTATTAACAAAAAGTATGTTAAAATGTCCTTTTTTTTTGAAAATTGACTTCCGAGTTCACCTTTAGAAGTTACCAGTCCTATAATTATGGTATTAGGCGAAACCTAGAGGGTTTGCGTTGAACCTAATTTGACTTTTGCCAATAAATTTTTGAAAAGGTGAAATGCAAACCGGTGAATCTAATGAAATTAATGAAAATTGATAAAAAAAAACTGATAAATGTAGGCGAGAGGCGGTAAAACTTGTAAAATACACCGAAATAAAAATAAATACAAATATGATTTACTTTTAAAATTCTATACCAGACTTGTTGTTCTAAGAGTTTTTTTTACAGAATTTGAAGACTCGATATAACAAATTTGTCAATGATGTATGTTTGCACAATTAGGCACCGTAACCTTGATGAGCACGATTTAAAGAAAAGATTGATTAAAAAGATGAGGGCTATGTATGGGAGATCAATGTTTAAAACCACAGATCGTGATTCGACCACGGCTATTTTGTACGTATAATATGACGACTAAACTAGTAAAGCTAGGGAGGCAGTTTGAAAGAATCTAGCATGTTGCATAAAAAATGAATACCGTATTTTTACTTTACCGACCAACTAAAATACACTCATTAATAACCCACTATCATTAAAATTGAATCCTTTATAAACATCCATCCCGTATAACCTATGCTTATAACCCTTATCTAATATGACCTCACGATAGCAGGTATTTAATTATGAAATTTGTATAGTTATCAAATTTACAACCATTAATAATCTTTTATACATAGATTTGGATGATTTAATGCTGGTATTGTTTATCTAGAAGGTATTGTACCATAATACACATTATTACAAATATCTAATACCATTGAAAATGCTATTAATTTTCAGATTGATTTTTAAATAGACCTACCCACTCTAGTTTAAATAAAACGCGTATCAAGAATCGACATTATCTAAAATCCGTAAATCTACATTTATTGACATTGGATATACGTATACATGGGTGTCTAAATTACTCCTCTTAATAAAAATTATTTCGACATTTAGTCTGTTGAAATTAATTTTTCTTAATGGCGAAATTAAATTTCATAGTTGTCGAAATTTTTAGTGAAATTATTTGAATTCTTTATGTCAAAATACGTTAGGTAGTATAGTTACTTTGTGGAATTCATATAAAAAAACTAGCAATGTCGAAATGTTTGTCGAAATTACTTTTTAAAAAATAATTTAGACACCCATGTATAGATATACGCACGTTACTGAAAGAAGTAAAAGAATTGAAAGGTGGATATTTTTTTCTAAGCGTAT